TGGACCCATAAATTAACTATCAAGAAGAGTAGGAAATAAGCCTTAGAAATAACATAAGTAAGCATTTGTCAAATTCTGACAAAGTACTGAATTTCGTGTGCTTATTAAGTTTTTAGAACTATCACTAAATCCAGCCATGGAAACAAGCACAGGAAGATAAATATCTTGATTTCCTTCTCAAAAGTAGAAATGAGAAGACTATGAGTGTTTAGTTTTAAATAATGTGGTCCAAGAAAACAACTGCACCACTGGTAGGTCCTATTATGGAACATCAAGGCAATGATTGCTTCTCATGATGAATTAATCAAGGTAGGGAAATGTAGAGGCCCTGCCCTAGAATGAGCTGACCTAAATATTTGGAGACTAGACTGGCTTAAAGATAAACTTGGAAAAACAAGGAAGGGACTTCTATAGGAGAGGGGTGTATTCAATATAAACCTGGCAAGAATATATAAGATATGCAGATGCTCCTGACTCTTTGTGACTATTCACCACTGCAAACATTGGTGAAACAAAAAATAATGTACATAAGGATCACTTTAAAAGCATGGATTAGTTAATAAGTATATAGGTACTAAATATTTTGAACCATAACAAAGATGGCCAAATAGGAATAGTCTACTATTGTTCAAGACTACACTGGAGAGGAAGGATGTTCACCTTGCTTTTTTTCTCTTTCTACTTCAAGGACTGACTGCCTAGCATAGATTTATATTAGCAAGCACACATTACCTGTTAAACTGAAATAATTCCTACTTTAAGGCTTCTAATGGCAGCTGTTCAGCCTAGCCTCTTTTTTCTAACATCTAATCAGTTACTACGCTCTATCTATTCTTCTACTGCGAGATGTCTCTGATCAGTTATCTTGCTAACCTCTCACTTTTCCTCCAAAATTCTCACTCTCTTTCTATGAATACAACAGTGTCCTGATATCCCCACCTTCAATATTTCACCTATTCCAATCTATCCCCGGGAATGCCACTGTCATTTTTCAAAGCACAAATATGATTTCACTTAATGTTTACATTTACAAAATAAATTTACAGAATAGCTTACATTAACAAAATAAAATTGTAGTCATAAACTTGCTTTAAAAACCTATACAATTCATGTGATTTCACAAAATGTTCCCACTCTTACAACACAGACTCATCCCGGTGATACCAGATCTCTACTTTCCTAAGTTTTGCTTATACTGTCTCCACCCATTTGAATTGTTTCTTTCACTACTATGGAAATATTATCACTCTAAAATACCCTGATCAAATCCAACCTTTTTCACAATGCCTTATCAGATTTATCCCAAAACCACCATGGCTATCACTGTACCCCTTCTTAAATGATCTTGTGTCATTTACTATAACAATTTCTCAAATTCCTGTCTTTCTCACCTAAATTAAATGAATGAGGGAAAGAATATGATTCAGAAATGTATCTTCAGGCATTTCACATTATTGCTCTATGTCTTGTCTGTACTCAGTAAGAATTCCAAACACAGCAACAACAAAAACCTAACAAAACAGAATGTCAATGAAATGCCTCATTAACCACTTGCAAGAATAAAATTTGTCTCTTCCTATCCCTCTAAATATTCCTATATATGATCTCCTATGTATTTCTGTATCATCCTATCGGTGATTATAAAGATGCAGGATGACAACTTCAATACCTTTGAGTGAAATGACCAGATTTAGGGAGGTGTTTTTAAAAAATCACATTATAGAAAGGCTGGGACCATGGTTATAACTACCTAACCCCCCAGGATTTTTATATACATAATAATAATTAAGAATTTAATGGGAAAATAAAGAGAACTACTATTTATTAAACACATTCCATATATGAAAGTCAACTTGCTAAGTGTATTAAACGCAGCACTGAATTTCCTTTACATATAAACTTTTGAAAATATCTCTTCTTCCTATTCATAAAGGTAACATGTAATATGATATATCTATTCAGGGGCTGGAATACAGATTTATCTGCTTTCAATGCTCATGTTCTTTCCTTTATTACTACAGAGCACCATAAAAATTAATTAAAACTTAGAAGTTTTCTCAATCTACCCTGGTTAAAATTTTAATGACTATAGCTTTAAGCTCAAACTGCTTTCATCAATGAATTAAATTACTCCCCAACTAATTCCCTTAAACAAAAACATATTGATATTATAAAAGTACCAGAATTCTAGTACAATATTTATTATATAATATGCAATTTCAAAACACTATAATCAATTCTTTCATAAAGAAGCAAATATTCACACACCAAAAAATAAACAAACCAAAAAACCCCAGAAACTATACAAACTGTAATGTTCATGGAACTAATTCATGAAGAATTCACGGTACTAAAACAAGCTGTTCTTTATGACCCTTGCCCAGGAACAACCAATACCATCTCAAGTAACACCTCTTCCCTGATCCTGACAGAATCCAGGCAAGAGCTAAAATTGCAGCTGCCTGAGGGGTGATGCCCTTTGAAGTTATTATTCCCAGCAGACCTAATTGAGACAGTCCCTGCACGGGCTCTCACAACCAGAGCATCTTGCTTTCCTTATGTCCCTGTTTCTAAGAATCTTTCTCCAGGAGCCAATGGAGCCCATTTTTTCCCTTCTGCAGGCCCATTTTCTACTTACTATTCACTAGAAACGAACTAGTTTTTGATTGAAACCTCGACACATTTTCCCATAGGAAAAACTTTCCAACAATAATTAAGCTCTTCATCTGTATAGCTTGCTATAGTGCATCGATCGAAAACTGTTACTACTATCCATGGTTTTCTTGTGGGCAAACATGTTCAGATTCAGAAACAATCAATTTGAACACTGCTGAAAGATAATTCTAAAGTTGTCAACTGCTCACATAAGCAAGAAAGGTAAACATTGAAAAAAACTTGAAATATATGAGTGGCTATAATTTAATAATTCTTATTCACTCTTACCAGTGATAAGCAAAGAGAAATTATTTCTTTTGACATCAAAATTAACAAATTTATACTTGCATTTTTAAAGGATTCCACCATATTTTATATATCCCATTATATATAATAACATATACATAACACAATGAAAATACCTTTATTCTAAAAACTATCACAGTTGAGAAATGTAAAGTTCAAACTTAAAAACCAGAATTTCCAAAGTCAATATCAAAAGGTGTAATGAAAATAAATATAAACTCTATAAATTAAAACTGCTTTTTTCTTATGAACATCAGCACAAGAAACAAAAACAAAATGGGTCTGCCAACATGTAGCACTAAAATTTCACCCCGAATATTTTAATAGACTTATTTGCTGGGTGAGATCTAACCAATCATAATGGTTTTAGACAAAGAAGCAGAAATAATACCTTCACCACATTACCTTCACCTTTTGTTTTTACTTCATAGGTTTTACCAATTTCCACTGGAGTATTTGTCAAAATTGCAGAGGTAGAAACCTATTGTTAAATATCTACAATTCCTAAAACATACTGCAAATTTTAAAAAAATGTGCGTGCTAATTACAATTTAGAAGACAGTACATTCAAAGTTAAGCACACCTAGACATAAAATAGTAGATATTTGAAAGATCCCTACTTCCCATATAAATACTTGAGATTCACAATGAAACAAAATCTCCCCACCCCCATAGTCTAGTTAGATATTTTATCTATGAAGCTACAATTTCCACATTTTAAGAAAATTTAACATTTTTCATTCATCTCACTTTTAATCAATTCTTAAGAGATGTGGACTATTAAGACACTTTGGAATCACTTAGTTTAAAAATATTTGTCTGTATAAAGGTTTCCATTCCACAGTACTTCATTCAATTTATTTCCATAAAATCTCTTGTTGCAAGTTATTCTAACATGTAATGTAATCTAACTCTAGCTTAAATTAATATAATGGAAAGGGAAAAGGGACAAGTAACCATACAATAATCCAAGGCATGTCTTTCTAGAGCTGGAACAATATTTGAAGACAAAGGCTCACCCTGGTGATTTCGAGGATTCTGACTGAGTCTTACCTCTAAACATTCTGTTGTAAATCAAACTGGTATTCAACAACTATTTTAGGAGGTGTATGGTGGCCTCTACTGGAATACTATGCTTATGATTAAGCGACTAGGAAAGGATCCAACTTTCTAACCCAATAGGTAGGTTTTTATGTTTAAATGTGGCTCGCGTTTTGTAACAAAACAACAAAATACCTGTGCACATCTAAGTTCTCATGGCCCAAGTGCAAAACACAGTCAGTACAGTTTCAGAAGAAAGAACGGCGGGAAAAGGGGAGAACGGAAGTATTTTGGTTCAACTTCGCTCAGCTTTCCCCAAATCGGTCTTATAAGGTCTGGGAATCACTTTGCCTCTGGTACCCACCAACGGTTCAGGTATGCAGGCTGGAAAAGGGTTCAGGGTTGAAGGAAAAAAGGCACGAGAAGGGGGAACTGAGAACAGGCAGCAACAGTTCACCTGCACATACTGACTGCCAGTTCTTCACTTAAGGTAAAAGAAAATAGGAGGCTGCAAAGAAATAAGAATGCTGTTACCAAGGAACACTTGTCCCTTAGGATTAAAGTCCCTAGAGTTGGTCACCTTGGTGTGTTTTTGTTTCCCTGAGTTCATAAAACACTGGAGTTAAACCATCAGCTCTGGTCCCCAACTCCAATTCTCAGAGAGCAGAGGCAGAATGTTGTAAGAAGAGCGCACGGAGTCGTGCAAGGCACTGCGCGTGTCCCCCAGTCCCGCTTCGGGTTGAAAGTGAAGAAACTTAGAACAAACTCTAGCGTGGCCGCACCTCCGGAGCCCGGAGCTCGGGAGGCCAAGCCGCAGCTAGGAATCGGGAGCTCTAGCCCACTGCCCAGTCCCCTTTCCCGCCCTCCTTGCTGCCAGAGGTCCGGGCCCCCGGGAAGGGGGTGGGGGCGCTCTCCTGGCACCCCGCTCTCCCGCCTGGCCAGGCTCTCCAGGGACACGGGGCTGCAGACTTGCAGCCGGTCCCGCCCACCACACTCACCTCGCCGCCGCACGCCCCGCCGCTGCTGCCGAACACCTCCATTTCTTGGTCGTCCCAGGGATCCTCCGGAGCAGCGAATGGTAGCATCGCCTCTTCAGGAGCACTCGAACAGGAGCTGCCCGTCTCCAGCACCAGCACACATCCCGCCTGCTGAGCGTCCTCGCTGCCGCCTCGGAAGAGACTCCGAGCCCCGTATTCAGTGACCGCTGACCTCGTCACCGGCGGATATCTCAGGAGCTGGGAGAGCGGGGTGTCCGCCGACCGCTGTGTCCAAAGAGAAGACAACTCAGTACTGCCTCCCCTCGAGCAGCAGCCGCCACACACCTCTTGCTGCCCGCCCCGCAAAGCTCCGCGGGGCCGCCCCCCCCCCCCCCCCCCCCCCCCCCCCCCCCCCCCCCCCCCCCCCCCCCCCCCCCCCCCCCCCCGCGCTCCCGGGCCCCCTCCCGGCTCCCTACGCCGCCAATATGGCGGCAGCCGCCGCGGTACCTGTACGGCAGTACGGCGCTTGGAACCCCCGTGGCGGCAGCGGCGCGGCGGCGTCACCGGCGCGTCAATGGAGGTTCCCCAGCCCGGGAGTGCAGTGGGGGGGGGGCGGGGTAGGGGAGGAGGGGCGGGGTGGTTGCGAGGAACGCGTGCTGGGGGCGGGAAGAAGAGGAGGGGGCGTGCTGGGCGGGGGAGGCGGGCGAACAGTAGTAAAGCCCACAGCTAGAGCCTGCTAAACCTGCCCACTCCACAGAGCATGCGCGATGCTCCCTACACATGCTCAGCAGGCCTTCCTAAAACTACCAAACCGCCTGGCTGGCAGGAGGATTCCCAAAGAGGATGCCGGCAACTCTGGGGCGCTGCAGAAGGCTTCAGGAGCCCAGGCTCTGCCCGAGGGCCGGCTTGCTGGGCCCAACAAAACTCAGGTGTAGTATACACCAAGCCACGCCCATTTCATTACCTAGTAGCCAATACTACCAGGGCGGGGATTTTAGACTATAATATAAGCCACCTAGAAGCTAGAGGTAGCAGATCATACATTTAGAAGAAATCAGTATACCTGTGCTCCCCAGTCTCCCACTCCAGTCAATTTGTCTCACTTAAGATGTGAGAGTCGCCTTCACAGTGCTAATGAACTCACAACGGTTCAATCTCTTGTGTGCCCCAACACCACAAGAGCACACAATGCATACACACACAACTCTAAACAGACTCTAAGCATGGTAACAAAGGCAGGGTGTCTAATGCTAATCCCTACCCACCCCTGGGAATGTATGAGATAACACACACACATAGTGATGTTTCAGTCTTCCTCACATGTGCTTTACCCCTTTGCTATTCCTGGCTCTAGTAATGTAACAGATGAATTAAGTTCCAGCTTACACACAAAGTGGATGATGAAAACCCTCAGTAAAAGATTTTCATACTTAAAGTTAAAAAAAAAAACACTTATTCCACTTTTCGACACCTACAGACTTAAAAGCATTTGCTATAGCAACAAAAACTCAGTCCCTTGGAGAGGTTTCTAATACACTACTTAAAACACACCACCTCCTTGCCCTTTCTACATCTAGAGCTGTTGTGATGTGCCTTCCATTTATTTTACCATCTGCTGTGGAGTGCTAAGAAACCAAAGAGGCCACAGAGGTTGGCAGTGAATTCAAATAAGAATTGCTAATAATGCCCTCTGACTTGCTTAAAATCCAAAGCTGTAGGCATACTACCTTGCAAAAGTGATATTTTTGAAAATGAGAACATGAGGCTATAAGACTTGAAAATGTGTGTTTGTATATATGTGTGCTAGTGTGTATGTGTCCATAGACTTATGTGAGTAGACTTATGTTTGACAAAAATGAATGATAGTGTTCTTAATGAAGTCCAATTTCATTGAGCTCTGAGTCTCATTTTCCTATTGCTTACAAGCTCAATGCTACAACTCTCCTCCCTCTTTTCCACATCACTTATTTTTCTCCTTCTACCGAATTATTCCCATCATCAAAAACATACTCTCTAATTTCTACTTACTATCATTTGATGCATTGTATACCTCCCAATTCTTTTAAATATTTTCTTTACTTGACCTCCAAAATAAAGCTGTGCATATTTTCTTCCTACATCACTGATGTCTGTTTTGCTGTTCCTCATCTTTATAAATGTCCAACCTTTGAAGCTTCAGTGCTCAGCTCCTGACTTTTGTCTTTCCCACTTTTCTAGTTCTTTACTTATCCCATGCAGATGCATGGTTTAAATCCCATATGTATGATTTCTAGTCATAGAATTTCTTGAAGTCAAGAGTTGTACATTCACAGCATGTCCAATATATCTGCTTAGATATCTAACATTTTGTTCAAATTCAGTTTATTCAAAACAACTCTTAATTTCAGTCCAACCAACCTGGCCCTCCACTATTCCACAAGTTTGCAGTTCATAACTCACTTTATCATATTCAATTTCTACCACCAAATAAAAAAATAAAATTTAACATCCCTATGTGTTTCTTCATTCAGAATCCTTTTTAACACATAGCTATTTGAATGTCTCCTAGATAGATAGATAGATAGATAGATAGATAGATAGATAGATAGATAGATTTGATAACATGATGTGGGAGTGATTTCTTATTAATAAAGAAACTGCCTAGGCCCCTTGATAGGCCCACCTTTAGGTGGGTGGGGAAAACAGAAGAGAATTCTGGGAGAAAGAAGCTTAGTCGAGGAGTCGCCATGATTCTCCTGCTCCAGACAGACGCAGGTTAAGATCCTCCCTGGTAAGCCAGCTCGTGGGCTACACAGAATATTAGAAATGGGTTAGAACAATATGTAAGAGCTAACCAATAAGAAACTGAAACTAGCCAGGCCAGGCAGTGTTTGAAAGAATACAGTTTCCGTGTAATTATTTCGGGGCATAAGCTAGCTATGTGGGCAGCCGGGTGCCCAGGACGCAGCCCTGCCGATCCTATTTCAACAGATGGCGCCCAGACGTGATGGGCTAAATCCACTTAAACACCTAAGAAGGCTTAAAAATAAGAAAGAGAGAGTTTAAAACAGATTTTTGCTGTTTCTTGGTGGCATGTTGTAGAGAGATTCCTGACTCAGCAACAGCAGCAGAAAAAAAAAAAGCTGCGTCATTTTAAAGCCCAGCTTCCTGGGGGCTGTGCTGCCAGCATGAACTCTGGCTTTAAAGCATTTCAAGGCTTTTATGGGACTGGATGTTTGTGTTCCTGCTTGGGATCAGAGGAGAGTGCTCTGAGACTGTGCCAATGGCTCAGCGCTCCCCGCCTGCACCTGGGCAGAAGGCAGAATCAGGCTTAGGCAGGCAGAAGAGCATGGCGGATTCCTGCCGCCATACAGAGACACGTTTTCAGACTGCGCAGTGCTCTGCCTGTCAGATCTGGCTGTGACTTGGATGAAAAGAGTTTCTGTGCTGCACACTCAGTCTCAGAATTAAACTGCTGATTGCGGCTCCAATGTGAACTGCTGTGTGCCTGGAACTGTGCTCAGCTCAGAAGCACCAAATGACTCTGAGGCAGGAGCAGCTGCTCCTTGCTGAACTCTGCTGACCTCAGGCAGGGACTACCGTAATTGCCATAATAACAGCACAGTTAAGGTTTAGACTGGGCAGGACACAGGCAGTACCGTATTACTTGTACATGGTGCAACTTAAGTTTTTAAGAAGTGCTTAACATTTTAAGAAATGATCCTGGATAGTAAAAGAATTACAGATTCACAATAGAACAGATTCAGACACTGTTGGATGAATGTACGTAGGCTTGGGAGAGAGAAGAAAAAGAATATAAAGAATAAAGTTAATGTCTTAAAAAGAAAAGGGGTAAAGTCTTTAAAGAGACAGAGTACAGAAGTACAGATAGTTATAG